GATTGCCACAAGTTGGTAGCATGCCAGGCGTCTCAAATTTTAAAGTTACTCTTACGGTTAATTACCCCCCCCCCCCCAACAACAACATTTACTGGCCCAAAATATGGCACCATTGACATTTACACAAGATGTAGGCTTAAAATTGCCTTCGAGCGCGTGGGGTGGGGGTCCCTGTGCACTTTGACTTCAAATCTTACAAAAAAATAACTTATCAAAGAGCTGATGACATTAAAGGGTCAAAGGTAGCCCAGTAACGGCAGACCCAAAAAAACTAGCCAATAGGAAGCCAGAAGAAATAAAGGTTAACGCTGATAGTTGCCTGACGTCACATCCGCGGGTCACTATATCGAGCATTATGAAAAAACCCAGGTATATTTCCCACATGTGGACAACTGTGCTATACAAATTTGCTATATTACAAGACCTCCTAGAAAAAGTCAGCTCTGTTGCTATACTCTGTTGTTAAAATTGACGAGACACATTGACGAGACACACCTTTACACAAATGTTGTGTACTTTTCTTTCATTGCCTAAAATGTAAAGTCACCGATTAGGCATTTTCAGTCCAGTATAGATAACTTTTAAGTAGTAACACCAACGAGGAAGATACTGCATAGTATATAGAATTTTGTAATATTATGACACTTTTTTAGACACGGTCAGACACACAAGAAATTTAACTTTCACTATTTGCCTCTTTGTAAGCATTATAAGATGAATTTAATACAAACATGTACATTATTTTGCTATAATTCGGGATGAAATTGTTGGTATGTTGGGTTTTTAAATAAAACAGCTCAGTCATCTTTTATCAGTCGATTTAAATCTGCATATAATGCATGCAGTAGTGTTTTGAGTACTGATTTCAACTGTTCTTTTGTTGATTTTTTTACATGAATTTACAAATACTCTACAATGTACGAAAAGACACACGGATCCAAGCACTTACAGAATTATGGGCTGCCAACCATTCTCCCGATCTGTTAAAGAATCCAAACTGGTCAGCTGTTTTTATGAGGTTGATTTCATGCCATGGGCGTCGCGAGGGGGGGGGGGGGGGGGGGGGGGGGGACTCCCCCCCCCCCCTGGAAAAGCAACCCAAAAAAAGGAAGGAAAAAAAAAAAAAAAGAGGCGCGAAGACAAAGTGGTGTAAATTTAATGAGTTGGGGTGGCAAAATGTCCCTGTCCCCCTCTAAAACTGATAAATCGAGAATGTGTTGAGAAATACAAACATTTTTTGGCAAAAAAATTGTTACCCCCTCTAGAAAAAAATCCTGGCGACGCCCATGTTTCATGAGGTGCATAAACTAAGATTACATACATGAAGCTTAAAACTGTTAATTACAACCTTACATTTTTCTTGACCAGGACAAAGTTTCAATCTGCAAGTTCAAACGTTTTTGATCGGATAAAACAATGTATTAAAGAAATGACAATGACACTTCCGGATTGTTGGCATGTACAATGGTTGCTAACAATTCCAGGGGCTGCCGCACTTTGTTGTCAGCGTTATCGTCAAAGAAATATCAGTTGGTAAATAATCGTGGTCATTACGAAATAATTCTCGTAGAAAATTGGTTGATAGTCCACACTGATAATTAAATTTCAGTGATTCACACTGTGCCCGGATACGGACCCAAATATAGCAACCAATGCAAGACGAGAATTTATCTCAACACGGACTCTGCCACAGTAAACATGGATCTGCGAATAATAGAAACGTTAAACACGAGATCTGCGGATAAAAAACTTTACTTGTGATAAGAAAAATCAAGAAATTTTACTCCATTTTATGTAAATAATGAATACGCCTTTGTACATAGGTTTTGGTGCGTTACAATAGATTTAAACTTGCTTTAAATGGCAAATTAATGGCATTTTTAATTTTTATGAAAGTTAATTTAAAGGTGCTAACCAAGAAGTCGCTAAAGTTATTATTGTCGGACAAAAGTGACTCCTTCACAGCAGTTAGGTTTGCCGGTTCCTTCGCATTTCTCAGAACAGACATTGTCAACACATGTAAAACAAGTCGCATAGTTTAACATGTGTGTGTTCAAATACAAAATATAAACGGAATACATGCAATTAGTCCCCAACTATGGCAGGTCGGTGACTTTGTTATACTATTTGATATTCTGCCTACTGCCTCGAAAGCAAGTCTTATTAGGACCAAAACATCAGGCCTGCTAATTTTGTTGATATGAATTCTAGGTTAATCCAGTCAGTACACTATTTACAGAAGTTCATTTTCATGAGTATAATATTAAACAATGTTTCCTATACTGGAAACATACCTGAATAGTCGAATTTCCCTAAAGTTTTCTTATGGTGAATTGTATAAATGCACTACATGTTAATACAGGACAAAATATAATATGGCACCATTGACTTTGCGATTGCGCTTTGTTACCATTGCCAGAGCCCCAGTGCATGGGAGGGCTGTACAAAACCGCACACAAGTGTGTTTTTGCCTGCAATCTGGGACCCCCTATAGTCCCTCTTTAGTTTGTACTTTTTAGGAAGACCTCCCATATGGTTTGCTCAAATCGCCAAATCGGGGACCTTCGGGAATTGGGGACCCTATTGTCCTCTTCTGTCCAACGTCGCCTACTGAATGCAGAAGCAAACTCGCACTGGCATACAGTTATATACGTATAAGATTGTTTTCCTGCATCTGCACAAATCGGCAACGTCCTCGCATGAGCGAAAAGACAACATCAGCAAATACATCTCACACTTGGGGCGACACTGAACCAGACAATAACAAAGCTGGTCAGGCAAGATTCAATTACAAATCTATTAAAAAAGATAATCAAAATATGTCTGCTCACACCAAAGGGCCAAAATACAAACGTTCTTCTTTTTCTAATTTCCAGATACTTGATCTGACCATATTTGATTTGACCATTCATTATATCAATGTACCGAGAAATTTACAATTTCCACATTTCTTCCGTTAATGACAATTGGTTCAATTTGACCCTTATTTCTACGGAAGTCAATTATCATTTCCTTAGTTTTGATAACATTTTTAGCTATCCATGCCGTGCTAATCAACAATAGGTCGACCCCTTATATTTGGGCTCCAGTAAAAAGTTGTAAACAAAAATGGCATAACAACTTAGATACAAGTTATATTTCATCTTGTAGATAATCTCACACAAACTGATATGAAACTACAGGGTGAGTAAAACAAAAAAAAACGGAACCCAAGATGTCGGGACCATTGTTTCAGTGAAGTTTGGCATGTAGCACTTGCAAATCTAGGATATGAAAGCCCAATTCATAAGCTTTCTTTTAGAACAAGAATCATTCAAATCACGCATGTACTTTTTTTCAGTTACGGAGTTTTAAACGCAACCATCGTTTTAAGATTCGGTCCACGGATCACAAAAAGTTCAGTGTTCTTTTAGCAAAACGAAAACAAATCATATAAAAAAAAAGATTATGAATTGGGCTTAACATCACGAAACTGTTGGATTTACGGGCAATCCATGTTAAAATAACGGTCCCTGTGATTTTAAGATACACGTAACTTAGCGTAATGTTATGGGTTTTTTGTTAGCAACCCGTTTCACAATGAATCTCAGCGGCGTATCGAGCTTTTAATGTCGTGTGGGGGCGGGTAAAACCGTCACCGGCTTTTTCAGCATTCGGTAACTTAAATGTCAGAATGGGGGGGGGGGGGGGGGACAAAATCAAAAGACGTAGTGTAATGGGTTCTTTGGGGCCTTGATTTTCCATATTAGTCGTTCAAATAGCCCAATCTGCATCCTCTGCTCCCCGTCCCGCTTGATACGACGAGGGTGAATTTAAAGTACAAAAGGACACATTTTTCACAGTGCATGCAAATCGTATTTATTGAAATTAATATGCTTCTATACGTGTACGAATTTACTGACCGGCTCCCTGTAGCTGGCAAGTTCAAGTTGTGAACTATCTTCCGTTTGCGGAATCGTAGAACGAGTCCGCGTGAGCACTTGGGCAATGTCGGTGTGCAGCTTTTCCAATTCGTCGGCCGTAAGGCCGGACGTCTCCACAAACTCGTATTTGAAAGCTGTACGACTGCTTACTTTGATAGCCTCAATGGCCTTGTCTAAATCCCCGCTCAAATCACTTGGAATGTCCAGCGTATTCGGTTTTAGTAACCCTTCACACAAGCGATTGCATTTGTGTTCTTGGAAGAACCTCATCACGCCGTACAACCCTAGATCGGTAAGGCCGTAGTAGCCAAACATCTTCCCATGTTTCTCCATGTTGTGGATGGCTGGATTGGTGAAGATGTAGCTTTTCCCGCTGCAAACTCCTTGTAAGTCTGTCACAAGAGTCTCGCCCTCTGATTCATGGTACGTGAAATGGGAGAAGGCTTCTGGAACAAGGGTATCCTCGTTGGGGTTTACGTAAGCAGAATTGCTTAAGAAGTGGACGTACCGTCCCTGAAGGAAACGCTCAATTGCTACTGTGGCACCCTCTAGGACCATCACATCGGCTCTCGCTGCATCTCCATCATGGGCTCCGCGAATCGGTTTGGGAACAGGGTCTTCTCCTCGCTGCTTGTAGGTAGCAACCGTCTTGACTTTGGAGATGATGGGAGTAAAAAAATCAATCCTGTCAAAGTCTTTACCGCTGCAATTGACGTTGAACGCCACAGCCATTTCTTGTGCTTTCAAGGAGGCGCGAACGTCCCCTTTCCAAGCGTCTTCTTTCAATCTGGCACAGTAATCCTCTTTATAGAGTTTCACAACGCATCGCTCACTGCCTTGGAACCACCAGCTATTGACGTGCTTTATTTTTCCTCGGTAGGCGTATCTGGAAGCACCTTCTGCAAACGGGTTTTCATCAAATATCACATACTTTTTTTCAGCGTTCTCGGTAAAATGCTTAGAGGTGTGGCTTTGAGAATTCCTCATTTTGCGCTATACTCGTTCACCTGAAAACAAGAAAAGACAAGCCGGAGCTAATGAATTACATTGAAACCATTCATATTTGAAACACTCTTTTCAAGCATCTGGTACACCATGAAGAGTTGTAAGCTCATTACGCAGGATGTACTCCAGTGCAATAGTCTCAGCGGATTGCTGTTATTAGCCAACAAATAGGTCAAGTAACAAGTGCCAGTACAGTCAGCCAAGAAGAGTTAGTGCTGCAAACAGTGACTGGCCCAAGCTTTGCCAATCTTTATATGCCTGTTACTCAGTTGCTCAATACGCAGTTAAAGTGTTTCTCCGTAAGGAATCCTAGCTAAGATAATTCTTTATTACCTGCAAAGATCTCTCCGGATCCGCGGCACCTTTCAAATCCAAAGTCAGACACTTGCGCCCTGCGCTAGCCGTCTACTACTCCACAGTCAGCTTACCTGTGGATCTTTGGTACGGCAGGCCGGGTGTTTATATAGGCTTCTAAAAAATAGATATGACATCATGATCCCACGGGGATTTCCAAGCCTCGAATGTTCACAGTGACCGTATTTGACTGCAAAACTAGAGCACTAGTTTTCCTTCATTTCAAAGGGAAGACATGACAAGATGTCTAATTTATTGTTGTTTGGTATTGGTGCATGTGGCTGTAGCGGTTCGTTTTGTGCCTCAACCTTTAATTTCCAAACAGACGATTAGTATGAAAAATAACTCACATTTTGGTCAGAAAAACTCTATGGAAAAAAAAATCGATTCGTTGCAAACTCAAGTGAAAAATCCATCTATTGGAAATAACGAATTTCACTCTTAAACGTCTTGTCCTTATAGTTTCAGTATAATTTCAAGAGAGTTTTGAACAAGATCAGTCTTGGAAATAAGAAAGGACGAAGAAACATTTCTGCATTGCAAATTCGCTTGAACCAAGGGCGGATCCAGAACACAATTTTTGGGGGAGGGGCCGAAAAAAATTTGGTCCCCCAAAATGTGGGTCAAACAAATTACGGCGTGGGGATCGGGGCCCGCTTAAGGGCCCCGAAAAAATTGGATTCTAGATGCTCTGTGGTGCGATCTGAGGCAATTTCTGACTACTTTAACTAATGTATTTTTGAGGAAAAGATGGTGGTGTACTCATTGCCTGCCTTTATTGCGATGTCACATAAAAAAATAATTGGTTTCGTTTTTTGGGGGGCCATGGCCCCCTTTGGCCTAAACCACTAAATGTAACTAAAGTTGCATTTCCTGGATTTTAAACATTTGCTATCGAAGCTAATACGTGGTTTACATGTATAACAAAGATCGTTATAAAAAGGAAAGATCGGACAATCCTCTGAAAAAGTGAAACATGAAGAAATTGCTCATGGGAAGGGCGCCACTAGCGTTGGGTAGATAAAAGGCAGATTTGCTCGGTGCACGTACTTTACGTACGTGATGTGCCAACTGGGCAACGTGATCACTCGATTTAGGTTGGCAATTTCATCTATCGCATAGGCACATGGTTAGGCCTACGTGTATACACGTGTCATGACGGCACTTTATACGATTTGCAGGATGTTTAATCGTGGACCTTCAAGGTTTATTTGGAAAAATGGTATATTCAAACATGACAAAGTGTTTCACATCACTTGAAACGCTGCATCGCTTGGCGCATGGCCGTCACAATTTAAACGGGTAATTTAAATATCCATACGTCGCTAGAATCTGATTTAATATACCGTAACTTTGGTGCTAATATGATACACACTGGTCGCGAAAGGATTTTCTATTAAACACATATGAACTTAAAGTCTAGTATTTCATTACTATTTGCTGCAGGTAAGTGTGGTTAATACTAATAGCTCGTTTTAATGCTAAAACATGTCATAAGTTGTCCTCGAAAAACGCATGTCATAGTTTTTCCATTATTGATTTGTTAACACTCTTCTGTGGCGTCGCACTTTTGTTTATTCTTCGCCATTATTTTGCACGAATAGAGCACGGCGAGCCATTCAGCATCTGACAAATGGCGTAGGTAGGTGAAGCCACTTATGTATAATTCAGTAATTTCACAGAATTGCATCAAGACACTTGTGTTTTCGTTCTCTTTTATCGCTTCAATCAAAAAATGGTCGCTAGAAAAATGGACATAGCAGGATTCGAACAAGGGACCTCTCAATCCATAGCTCATCTTGTTAATCATTAGGCTACTGTGGTAGCTGGACGACTGCCGTTCTTTTTAAAAACTCTAAATGTAACATATTCAACAAATAATATTAATGATGTATTAATGATGTACCTTATGCAATCTTTCCCATAGAATAGGTCAAACTGTACCCGGTTCCTTACCCACATCTATTCCCTGTTCATCCCATCCATTCATTAGGTCAAACTGTGCCAGAATTTCATAACCCCATTAATTCATATTTATATCTACATATTTCCATATTTACATATTTATGTGACCTTTACACATTTCTATGCCAAAGGTCAAAGCATACCAGACAAACTACTTAAACTACTAGTGTCCACGCTCAAAAAATTGTCTCGTTTTTTTTGTTCTATACTTTGTGCAATGAAAGGACGTGGGGAGCAAGTAACAAAATAGATTTTTTTTAACTTTTATTTTGCCCGTTTCCATGCCTACGTTCCATTATGTGTTTTGCCCAATTTTGGGCAATTTTGAGGCTGCAAATATTCATTTTTTTGCGTTATTTGTAAAGGTCGTCAAGCCAAACTGCGAAGTAATGTCACAAAAGTAACTATAACACGACAAAGAATCATCCTTACCCTTACAAGAAAAAAATTGAAACACTTTTGAAAAATCACTTGTAGATTATTTTTAGGCCCTACAATACAGCATGTTTTTACAACTAGCAAAATGCATTTTTACCCCATTTTAACCCTCCATAATGGCACTTGCCAGGGCACTCTGAAAAAAACTTCTCTTCGGCTACAGTTAGTCCAAACATCTGGTGAGAACATTTTGGTTTATTGTATATCCTTTGAGCAGAAGCGCTCGAAAAATGGGTTCAGTTTTTTCCTTTGTTTTGAGTAATAACTTGTATAATTGGTATTGTTCCTGAATCTAGCACATTTTCACAAACAGAATCAGACTCTGTATCATTTATAGACAAGTGGATGAATAGTTGGTCGTGAAGTCCCCCCCCCCAACCTAGCTAGGCCCCGCCCACTCTCTCTTTGCCACCAAATTTAGAAACTTGTATGTTGCATAACGAACCAAATGAAAATAAATAATATGCAAGTGAAGACTTTCTTTTCACAGCCTCCCCTTGCCCTCCCCCCGCCCCAACCCTGGGACATTGCTTGGGGTTGAGGGTGGGGTGTGACCACCCACCAATAACTTGGCTCTGTCTGTAAAATCATTGCAACATTCGCAAAAATCATGTGTTTGCAAGCCGCAATGAACAATAATGGCCATATCCACTGTCCTCTGATTGAAGTGCATTCATTAGTTAAAATAATGATGCCTAGCTTCCCGCCCAGCTAGGCCCAGCCCCTTCCCCTGCCACCAAATTCAGATTTTGATTGCTACTTGTATTTGCCTTTAAAATTGTAAATAGATATCATTTTGCAAGTGCTCTTTCATAATTATACCAACAGCCGTACCCGCCTCACAGCCCACCCCCCTGCCACCCCTCTTCCTACTCCAGTGCTCATTATGAGTAACGACCCCTCCCCCTCCAAAGAAAATCAACATGTAGTATTGTTAAGGTTACATATTGTGGAAAGTCCACATATTTATATGCACTATGTAGGTGTGGCTATTTTTTATAAACAAAATTACATTTATTTTATTATTTTCAAAACAGAGAAGTGATATGGCAATTTAGAGAGCAAATAACTCATATTTTTTTACAGTAAAATACATGTACTTTAAAACAACTATCAGGCTTCTATTTTGATTGATTGAATTGTCTAGGCCCTTTGTGTAGTTATAGTCAGATCGAGTACATGTAAAGTAATATAGCACCGTTGTGGGTGCTGCTATGCCCGCCCAGATCGTAATTGCATCAGTAGTCATTATGGGGACACTTCGTTGGTGCATCCATTGTTGCATGGCAAGCAATTTTAAATGTATTGGTGCTTATAAATAACAGGTTTTGTGATATACAAACGAAGATGTTTTGTTAATGTGTTAATGAAAAAAATATCAACTTACCCACCTTTTAACCCTTTCTGGCGGGTTTTTTTTTCAGAAAGGGAGGGGTACAGCAGATTGTGATCCCCATGTTGATTTGCATATGCTTTGACCGATTTTCCTACAATTCATTTGGCAGGAAAATATTGGTTGAACACTACTCTATAATATGACATGCTCGGTTATATTGCTGCTACCAGTGTTTTGTCTTTATATTTTCCAAACTCTTGTCTAGATAACATTTTGGGCATAATTTCTGTATTTTATGTGTTTTATATGGTTCTATATTTAGAACAAACATCATTGGTCTACATATTCATCCCAGTCAGGTAATTGTATGCATCCATTGTCACTGCTATAGGGACTACAAACTTACTGATCTTATTCCCCACGCCAATATACCGATAGCTGATTCAATGTCTCCAACCTCGAAAACGATGTTCAAATAATTATCTTTTGCCAAGAAAATATTAGTTAAAGCATGGAGGAAAGTCGTAAGAAATTGCTTCAAATCACACCACAGAAAATCTAGAATCCAATTTTTTCCCCGAACCCTGCATCAGTTATGATCAAGGTATGTCCCCCCCCCCACTTTTGAGAAGCGATTGACACCCCTGCGTGACGCCCCCCCCCCCACCCCCCTGAAATGTTCCAGCCCCCACCCCACCCCCGCGCCCCCTACTGAAAACTTCCTGGCTACGCCACTGCATAGGACCCTGACTACATGTATACAGCCAAGTCAAGTCATGGTGAAATTCATTCAATCAAATTGATGCTGTTTTCTCTCGGAGTTTTCACTGGAGTGATCCTTGTTTTAAAGTACATGAATTTCAATATAACCAAATAAGAGTTAGTTGCTCTCTATATTTTGAGATCTTTTCCGTTTTGAAAATAATTTAAAAACGTCATTTTGTTCACCACATCTTTACTGTTATTCCAAAAGTAACTTGTAATATGAAAAAAAATATGTACAGTGTACATGCGTGCGTCCAGATCACCCTTCCCGACCCCCCCCCCCCCCCCCAAC